GTGAGGAATTAGGGTTCGCGTTTCTGGGCTGAAGGGGGCATACTCGAAATGACCCTTCCCCTTGTTTCAATACTTATTGGTCTTTCAGTGAGTTTGCTCTACCCCATTTTGACGGGGAATGAAGATATCTGAAACGAGAATATCCCTCAACCCCGCCAGCGCGGCGGGAAAGACACCGCGATCGCTCGCGAAACTTTGCCCGAAGCTGCGTGACCCAAGAATGTGTAACGTCTGACACGTGTCGTTGCGCCACTGCACCGATCGTGTCAGAGGCGCGTAACGTCAGACATCGGCGAGCCCTCGCAGACGCCTGTTCGCGAAATGCGGCTTCGCGAATCAAGCAGCCGCTGTGGACGACGAAACGAAACCCCTGCCCAACCGTCTCCCTCTCCCTCCTCGATTCTAGGCTAGCGCTGTGGTGGACTCTCTTGAGTCTCTCCACACACGGTCAATCCCACTTGGTACAGTGATCTCTCAAGGTCGGAGGTAGGTGCTAAAACAAGGCTGAGCAAGAATCGATTTCCAAGGAGCCTTCTGGAAACTTGTAATTTTCCCCTACCTCCCTTACCTCGTACTTGAGGGACGGCTGCCTTCTCCACGGTCTTCAGAGCGTCTCTTGCTCCTTCAGCAGCGCTGCTTCTTTGCGCGATTCGCCCTTCTTGGCTGTTCGGCTAAGTTTAAGGCTTTTTTGAAACTAAAATTGGACACGTATACTGTTCATTGGCACCTAGTGGCTCCCAATGATTAGTAAAAGCTGAGATCTGGAAGCTGACGCTGCTGTATCCGAAGCAAACAATTTGCCTCATTAGGAATAGGAACGATGCTTTGCGAGCAGCGCTTTTCCCGGCCTTTTCTTGACGCGCATCGCGATTACAAGGAGCCACCTTGCGACGTTCCGGCGATGTGTACGACGCTGCCAGTGGCGCTAGTCCCTGTCGCCGACGCCTTCGAGAGCTCACCACCACGTGAGCCTACTTTTGATAGTCCACAGGAACTCGCCACGTGTCAAATCCAACGGTTCATACAGGAGGATAGAGCAGTACAAGGGCCACCCCCAGCCGCACATCCGGGGAGGGTTGGCGACGGATCTGCCGCGGCTTCGCCATGCCTGGTCTGCGGCGAGGACGAGGACGAAAACACGGTGCTGTGCGATTTGTGTTTTGCGGGTTACCACGTTCGCTGTCTGGCGTCGCGCGGAGAGGAGGTCCACGTGGACAAGGACGGCGAGTGGGTGTGCGATCTGTGCGAAGTGGAGGAGAAGCGGAAAGCGACGGTCGTCGTCGTGTGGGCCGAGGAGTGCGCGGAGAATAGACGGACGGCGGCCCAGCAGCCGGCAGATAAGCGGCTAGACGGCGAGCGGGTAACCGACGGGCGGATAGCTGACGTGGACGTGAGGACGCCGTTGAATGATGAGCAGCAGTTATTCGAGGATGGGGATGATGACGTGGTTTTGTTGGATGCGGACGTGGCACCCGTGCAATCCGGCGTATCTAGAAGCGATGACGCCGATGACGTGGTTCTCGGGCCACGTGGGGATAAGGAGACACGGGACGGCGCGAGAATGGGAGGAGAAAAGAGTGGCAGCGGCGGTAGCGGTGGTAACGGTGCGAAAACGAACGGTAGAGGAAAGGGCAATCACGAGGAGCCGTGGTTGCAGAATTTTGAGAAGCGAGGCAGCGGGGGAAGCGGCGGGAACGATGGGGATGACAGCGTGGCAGAGCACAAAGGCCATTGGCTGCTGCAGCGCACGTGGCTGGTTCCGGTTGGTTATACGCGTGTAGGGCCCATGTTCCAGGCGAGTGTACCGGAGTGGACGGGGCCGCCTTGTGTTTTTAACGGAGCTGGCGCTAGCGGGGATGAGGAGGCGCGGGAGTGCAATCGACGATACGACGATGATGATGGGTGAGTTGGGATGCCGAGTTAGTCGGCTGGTTTACGGCCATGGGTTTAGGTCAGTTGTTAGCCAATAATGTCACGGATTGATTTTGGAATCATTATCTCGCAATTTTCTCCTTGCTTTCTTATTCCAGAGTTAAAATGGATTTCCAGATCTGGAAATCCGAGGATTTCCCTGGCGTTTTGGGGGCGTTTGCTCCTATGGCTTCCTACCAGTCTTTGTCGCTTTCCAACCGCAGAAGCTGGCTCAAAACACTGCAGTGCTTCTGGAAGCACCGCTGCTGATGTTAAATACCCCGTACTTTCCCGTTTATGTCAATCTTAGACCCGTGACGTGAGCATTCCTGCGGATTCTCATTATCCCTGTCATTCTCTCTTTCCTTGCCAGATCTTTAACTGAGTGCTGTGCGTGAGCATTGCTGTTGGTGTTCGTCATCCCGTACCCTGCATTGCCCAATCTCTAACACCCATCTTTCCCTGCTCAATCCCTCGGTGCCCAATCTCTCCTTGTCTGTTCTCCGACTGAGTGCAGGGCGCGGCCGCCCTTTGGCCACGAAGCCAAGTGGACGGACGTGGAGCACCGCGCTGAGATTGACTCGTGGTCGCGAGGTGAGGACGGGTTGTGAACGTGGCGGTTTTTTAGAATTCTCAAAAAACAGCTGAGATTGACTCGTGGTCGCGAGGTGAGGATGGGTTGTGAACGTGGCGTGGCGTGCGGAGCTGAAAGAAGGGGGAGGGCGGGATGGGTTGGGTGGGTGAGGGAAAAAGGGTGGAAGAGGGGCCGGGAGAACGAGGGTCATGGCGTCAGGTATTGCCCATGTACCTTTCTTGCAAAGCATTATGCTTATGATTTCTAAGCACGTCTGTGAAGGCAAGGTTACTCACATTTGCCTTCTCCTCTCCCTCCTCATCTTTCCTTCCTCACCATTCCCTCATACTCTCCCTCCTCATCTTTCCTTCTCCACCATTCCCTCCTCCTCTCCCTCCTCATCTCCCTCCTCATCTCCCTCCTCATCTCCCTCCTCATCTCCCTCCTCATCTCCCTCCTCGTCTCCCTCCTCGTCTCCCTCCTCATCTCCCTCCTCATCTCCCTCCTCATCTCCCTCCTCATCTTTCTCTTGCCACCTTTGCCTCCTCATCACTCAACTTTCCCTCATCTACCTCCTCACCTTTCCCTCAACTGTCCCTCCCTCCCGTCCTCCCCTGTTGCAGCGCGCTCCTCTCGCTCAGCAGGCACTCGGAGAGCCAGTGCTCTTCGCCCTGCTGGGCCCACACGGACGTCCGACCGCGGGAGAGCAGCATCGGCAGCAGCTGCATCGGCCCCGTACTCATATGTGCGCATGTCCGAACGCCTGCTGCGCCGCCGCTGCAGTCCGTAGAGTGGGCATCACCCTGCTGCTCTGCTCTGCGCCCACGTGGACCCTGGCCGGGGAGCAGCAGCAGCTGCAGCTGCAGCTGCTGCAACCGCAGCAGCAGCGCCCTACTCGTATGTACGCATGTCAAAACGCCTGCTTCGCCTCCACTGCAATCAGTAGAGGTGGGTGATTCGGAGCCTGGTTGGAGATTTGAAGCAGGAGGGCACCCACTCAGGCTGGAAGCCTAAAGCAGGGCCGGGCTGGGTGGAGAATCGCGGCGTGGAGATTTTTGAGTCGACTCAAAAGTCACCTGGGTGCAGGATCTGGGGCCAGGCCCCAAATTTCAAGGGTAAAATACCCTTTTTGCCCTGATGGTAGGCCGCTTTTTCCCAGTTACCCTTGCAAAAACAGGGTATCAAATTTATTACCCTAGAGCAAACAGGCTAAGATTTGATTTACACTGATAACGATTTCTGTTACCCTGCCGATATCAGGGTGCACTGTATACTTCACAGATACCGAATCCTCTTAGCGAGAGTTTTCCTTGCGAAGCTGCGAAAAACTTTTGTGCACCAGCCAGATTCGAACCTGCGACCTTCGGAATTCTAGCCTCACATCTGACTAGCTGAGACATGGACTGGTGGAGTCATGCTCTATGAAGTGCAATCGATTAAAAAAACCATTTCATCCTTTTAAAATCAGTGTACATGTTTTTTTAGGCTGTTTTTGGCAGGGTACGAAATATTTTACCCTAACAGTCAGGGTACTGGGGGCCTGGAACCCTGATTTGAAAGAGTGGACCTAAACCTATTTTGGGCCCTGTCTGGGGCGTGGAGATTTTGAGAAATCTCAGGCTGATCTATTTGGGATTTCATTCTCCTAGTCATTCTCAGGGCTGGTAGTGGCGCTAGCGGGGACTGTGGGCTGTAAATCTGAGGAGGTTGGAGGTCTGCGGCAGGATTGCGGCAAGAAGCTGAGCTTTTGCTGCCTGACATGCGGTAGGTCTCATTTGTCAGGAGGAGCAAGCGCAGCGCAGCGCATGAAGCAGCAGGTGTCTAGGGGGCACGTTTTATACCCAGTGCTTCCAATGCAACTGGCTTTGATGCAGCTGGCAGCAGCAGCACTCACTGGTGCTGGTGGTGATGCTGGTGGTGATTTTTTCAGCGACACTACCATGGCAGGACTAACCCTGGGCTTAACTCCCTCTCGTGTGAATCCCTTCTTCCCTTGCCTGGGCACTGATAAGTGCTAGAACCATTCTACATGCTACTATGATTTGCGGTGCAATTGCATTGCACTAGTTAATTGGCTGGCATGCCTACCTACTACCCTTCTTGCAGTAGCTGTCTCGCTGGTGATTTCCCCTTTTAAAATTCCTTCGATTAGCCTCTTTAGAAATTGCTTGCTCTTTTAAGATGCAATCTCCTACACGGCCAGTATCAAATTCTGAGGACCTTAGCAAGTCTCTGGTCTTATGATATATAAATATATGAAGTCATATAGCACACAAATTAATTGCAGTTTATTTAGGGTGTAGATGCTGTCAGCCGGCGGCGGACCGGTTGAAGTTCAGTTGCGCCCGCAAGAAGCCATGTTGATGAGGTCCACGTTTCAACGTGGACGAACCTTGGACCTTGCCTCAGCCAGCTTGACCTGTCCGGGCAGGACCTGTTGGGTTTACGTTTCCGTTCTGGGTCAGCGAACCAGGCAGGCCCGTTCGGGCAAACCATCATGAATTCTTAATTTTCGGCCGGCTAAACCGGCCGATACCGTCACGTAGCGTTCCTTGCAGTAACGACCAGGCATAATTTAGCCAGCTCTTCTGTGACGCGTGGCAGTAAAGTGGACGTTCAGTCAACTAGCGTTTCTTTTCAGCCGGCCATGGCCAAAACACACAATCAGCATCTCGGCGGTGAGTGCCCTGCCCGGCAAGCAAGGTTTTGGAGGTTGATTGGAAAGCGACAGCAAAAGATCGAAAAAGTCATGGATGCGCTGACCGTGGTCAATTTGCCGGCGTCGCGTCGCAAAGCCGCTTTGCCGCGGCGCCCTGATCGAGTTTCGCCATCAGTGAGTTTGTAACATGATCACGGGCTACCCCACCTGTCTGCAGCTGAACCGCTGGATGAGCCAGTAATTTACCGACAAGGCAATATCTACCGTCAACTGCACGCTGATTCTGCCAGCCCAGTTTTCACGAAACCGCCCTCCTCGGCGTCAGCTCACCACTCTGTCCGTCCACCTCTCGTTAATTCCGCCCACACGCCCAAGCAGAAACACCTCGCCTACGCGGAAAGCCAGCTTCCCCCTTCTTCCCCGCCCCCCCTCCCTCCACACCCCCGCTCCAAACGCCTCCAAATGTCCACGGGAAACACACCGTTTCGTTTCCCCGGCTTCCGCGCATCAGTCCTTCTCACGGGGGGAGCTGGGTGCGACGAAGGTGGGGTATGGCCAATTTCAGCACGCCACCGACAAACATTTCAACACTCGTTTTCGCGCAAGAAAAGCCACCCATTTGGCTCTCAAACATCATTCGCAACTCAAGCCGAAACCTCGTTTTCAAACCAGAACCACCGAAGGGAAGCTAGATAGTCTAGCAATTGGGAATGAGCACATGCGATCATGAGACGCTTCTTGAAGATATGGCCGACGATTTTGAGCAGTGGTTGTCTAGCAACCCCTCATCCGATCACGACGCGCCTCCACAGCCCTTAGCAGTAGACAGCAGCGTTGCGTCAACGCCAGCATGCACTCGTTGCGTCAACTGCAGCTGCGTGATCGAACCAGCCAAGCAGATGGACACTAGCGGACCGCCTAGTCAGTCTCCTGGGGCTACATCCCCTGGAAGCATGGCGACCGCTTCTGCCCCTCCGCTAGCCTCTGCACCCCAAACTTCTTCAATCGCTAAAACAGCCGCTCAGCCGGTTACGCTAACGTCGCCGCCAACTCCCAGCCAGCAGTTTCTCATCGCCGGCAAGGTTCAGGAGGCTATCCGTCAAATGCTTTCCGTTCACCAGGGTCAGACCGTCCGCATCTCATCCAATCCCGCCCCGTCGATCGCCGTAGGCGTCGCAGAGGTCGCTAGCGGCGTCGCAGGAGTCGCCGGGAGCGGCAGCAGGTCGCACCCAATCAGTCCTGCGCGCAGCCGCGCGGCGTTCGCGGAGCAAGGCAAGCCGCAGCAGCCCCAGTTCGCAGTCGGTCGCAGCGCCAGCAGCGGCGGAGGGCTTTCCGCTGCTAGCGCTCGGGGTAGGAGCAGCGGAATGAACGCGAGTGGCGGTGGGGTCAACGCGAGTAGCGGGCAGAACGCGAGTGAGAGGAGGAACGCTCAGCCTACGCCGTATCGCGGCGTGCGGTACCGGCCATGGGGTCGGTGGGCGGCGGAGATCCGCGACGCCGGCGGGCGCGGGCGAGTGTGGCTGGGGACGTTCGACACTCCTGAGGAGGCTGCGCGCGCGTACGACGAGGCTGCGCGGGAGATCCGCGGACCCAAAGCGCAGCTGAATTTCCCCAAGGAGCCTCGGCTCTCCGCCCCTTTTTCGGCGCCGAGTCAGCAGAACCTCTCGGTCGCCCATGCTACGGCGCAAGCTCAGCCGCAGCAGTCGCAGCAATTGCATCTGACGCAGCAGCAGCAGCAGCAGCAGCATTTGCAGGTTCAGCAGCAGGTGCAGGTTCAGCAGCAGCAGCAGGTGCAGCCGCATATCCAGCAGTTTCAAGCGCAGCCGCAATCCGCGGTACCGCCGCGTACGCCCCAACCTGCCCCTCAGCAGACATCTGTCTTTTCCCCCCTCATGCTTCCCCGTGCTGCCATCATTCAGACAAGCCCAGCGCCCTCCGCCCTCCCCCTCCCAGGCTCCCCCGCCCCTGTCGCGTCCACTGCAGTCCCTGCTGCTTCACCTTTTCCGCTCGGCGCAGCGCCCCCCGCCCCTCTTGCGACCACGCCGGTAACCAAATCCGCACAGAAGCCTAAACCCCTGCTGCACCTTCCCTTCCTCAACCAGCAATTGCCTAAGCCGCTTCATGATACCACGAGACCTCGTACCGTCACAGCCCCAAATACTACTCTACCGGCCCCTCAGCTCCCCTCCGCGCCTTCCGCCTGCGCGCCCTCCGCCTGCGCGCCCTCTCCCTGCACTCCTTCCCCCGTCCCCGTCACGCGGAAGCGTTCCGCGATGGAGACGGTCCGTGAAGCCGTCGAGGCGACACCTGGCCTGCGCGAGCTGCGCGATGTGCGCGGCAGCTCCTTTGCGCCCGCCGCTGCTACTCGTGTCGACGCGACGGCCCCTCCAAGCACTCCCAGTTCCGATGCGGCTGCGGGTGCTACGAATCAGTGCTGGAAGCAGCCAATCCAGACGGCGGGTAGCGACGTTCATCCGTCTGTCTCGACGGCATCATGGTCGTCCGAGCCTATTCTCGCGCGGAACAGGACGACGATGCGAGCCGCGTCCGACGGCAATGGCGCCTTCGGCTCCGTCGCTGGTGCCTGGCGCGATGCGGGTTTCATGGCTGCTGACGTGGACGAGGATGATTGGATGGCGCAGGCTGGGGGAGATCCGTTTGGTTTTGGCGTGTTTGGACCCGTGGGGAAAAAGGCCAAGTCGGAAGGGCATCGGCCATGGGGGATGGCGGCGGGAAAAGGCGCGGAAGGGGAATTCAGTGTAGTGACGTGGCCTGCCGTGTGCGAGGTCGATGGGGAAGAGGCTGGATGCGGTGGAGATGGGCGCACAGGGGTACAGCGAGCAAGAGCAGGGGTGGAGAGAGGTGATAATGGTCCTAAGAAGAGCTGGTGGGAGGAGGCTCTGATGATGGACGACATTCCGGAAAGAGCGGCGGACGCTTCGGCACTGACGCTTCAAGAGCGAAGCGCTGGGCAGAGCGATATCAAGCCGGCTGGTGGTAGCAGGCAGGAGGGTTTGGCGGTACGAGCTGCAGCTACTGACGCAGCCATGAGTGTGATTACAAATGATGGCGAAGGTCAAATGGGCTCGGGACGCAGCGTTGACTGTATCATGCGTGACTACAGCGGGAGAACTGAAGCTGCTTCTCCAGTGGCGACTAAAGATGGGTCAGTTCAATTTCCAACTGAGGTTGCAGAGCCGACACCTGCAGCCAACGCGACGTCAGCTGAAGCTGACGTGGATTGGCCAGCAGCTGATTTGGAAGGGCTCAACCCAACAACATGCTTCCTAACCACAGAAGAGGTCAGCCTCGGCCTAGATGCATCCGTGGAAGCGCCTCTAGCGGCGCCTTTCGCGGTAGCAGCGGATTTGCCTGCAATGACAACAGCAGCCGTTCAAGACGATTTCTTCGTGGCAGCAGATTTTGCAGTCACGGAAATGGCGGAGGCTGCAATTTTACCCGACATTGTTCCTGAGCAGAAATTCGGATCTTCATTTTGGGACGAAGGCAATGGGGATTTTTTACGATGTGACAGTATCGAGGGGGAGGAGTTTATGGCTCTGGGTGAAGAAGACATGCCCAGCTCTTCTGACGGCACCGTCAGCTTCAGCTGCCGGTCAACGGGTATGGATTCCATTTTCAGCTCGTCGCTGCCGTCAAGCTGCAGCGATCGTGACGTTTTCACGGGATTCGGGTTCTTGGGATCTGGGAACTCCATGGCTCCCTCGTTAGAAGCATCCGCGACTAGCAGCGCGCCCAACAGTCAACACCCGTTATACTCAACTAATCACAGCAAGGCTCCCAGCAGCAGGCGGTCCGAAGGTCTGTACGCTCTGGAAGGCTGCGAATAGAAATTTGGGTAGGATTACAAGAACGTTCATTGACTACTTAGGACATTGGTTTGTTTGTGTTCTTACAGTAAAACTTGAAAACCAAGCGTGCAGCAAAAGGCAAGAACTGAGAACCTTGCCTTTAAATGATTCAAATAGTAACATCCCAAGATTTATATAGTTCAAATAATAAGGATATGCAGATACATCTTAAGCTTGGGAAGGGCAAGTGCAAAATATGAGTTCCAATGCTGTTTCAAATTGGATCTTACAAATTCAGTACAGCTTATCCGCACTAACAGCGTTTCCCTTTCACCGAGCTGTAGGAACACGTAAGCTGCCAGCCATGGCGGGATCATGCCCGTTGCATAAAACCGTTCGTGACTCCACTCGAACTCCACTTGCACGCCTCTCGCCTCGCCTTACTTCTCGATCCTTATCCTTGTTTGTTTCCATTAGGGTTTCGGCGGTTAGGTCCACATCCCGAAGCGATTGTGTTTGGTCTGTTTAGCCGTTGCTTCTACTCGTACCCTTCAGTGGAGCCATCTATTGGCTACACCATTCTGCTTTCTACAATTAGGCCTTCGCACACAGTAACTATCATCACACGAAATCGTAACCGTAGCGGTTACCCTTCGCGATGGGCGATCTCGTATTTCGCACGCTTCGCAACCTGCACCTGCACCTGCTCGAAAACGTGCAGATCGACGCGCAGCAGGCGAGCGTCGAGCGGCAGGTGCTGCGGCTCGACGACGAGAAGGCGCTGCTCGAGGCGGAGCGCGACCTGCTGCGCCGCGAGCACCTGCTGCTGCGCGCCGACGAGGAGGCGCTCGAGCGCGTCGAGGCGGAGCTCCGCGCGGAGAAGCTTGCGCTCGAGGCGGACCGCGACCGCCTCATGGCGCAAGGGCAGTACCTCGCCGCTGCTGCCGCCGCCGCCGCGGCGGAAGCGATGGGGGGAGCAAGAGGGGGAGCTGAAGCGAGCCCGGCGGGGGAGGTATTGGCGGAAGCGGAAGACGAGATTGCGCGGGGGTGCTCTTCGAGCGGGGAAGGAAGCGGCGGCTCAGGGCCGGGGGAGGGGAGGGGGAAGAGGGGGGATTGCGTGGGGTGCGGGGAGTGCCTGTGCGCGGTAGAAGTCGTGGAGGCGGAGGGGAAGCTGGAGGCTTCCGCGTGTGTGGCGGGGATGCGGTGGAAGGGCTCCGCCGCAGCGTGGGGAGGCTTGCGCGGAGAGCACCTTCGCGCAACGGGGGCTTGCCCGCGCGCCCTTGCTGCGCACAATAGCGGCTCTGCTTCCGCGCGAGAGAGCTGCGCGCATGCTGCTTCCTGCGCGCCCTCCGCTTCTGATTCCCCTCTAGATGAAGCAGCAGGTGCGCCCGCGCGCAGCACCCCACTTGCAGCAACAGAAGGAGACAAATCTGTTGGCGGGAAATGGCGGCTGAAATTCGAAGCGGCCGCAGCTAGGGCTGCTGACACGGCTGGCCTGGCGGAAAGCCTGCTGTTTGACAGGTCAGCACGGCCGGCTGCTGACGTGGCTGGCCCAAGTGGAAGCCAGCTGTTTGACAGGTCAGCACGGCCGCCTGCGGCTCAGTCAAGCCGGTCGGCCGAGGAACGATGGATATATAACCCTTTGGCTTCAGCTGCGGTGCCTACCACTGTTGCAGTAGCGCCAGCAGCAGAAGCAGCAGCGGCAACAGTGGAACCAGCAGCAGCAGCAGTGGTGGTGGCGGCGCTCCGGTCTCACGAGTCGCAGGGTGAGTCATTGCCACCGCCAGAGACGAGCGGTGCGGTGGGAGCAGATGAAGATGAATCCAGGGGCAGCGGTGCAGAGGCTGGGGTGGCGTGTGGGCGTGCAGAGGGGTCAAGTGGGGCAGAGGGCGAGGTAACTAGTGGCACCGGTGCAGATTCAGGCGAGGGACAGGAAGAGGAGACGCGGCAGGTAGTTTGTCAGCCGCAGCCGGCGCCAGAGGCGCTGGCGTCGCAGCTAGGGTGGCTGGTGCAGCGGGAGCAGGAGGAGACGCAGCTTACTCAGCAGCAACAGACACTTCCTCCGCCTCAGCAGCAGCATGGTCATCCTCCGCCCCAGCCGGCGCCAGAGGCGCTGGCGTCACAGATAGGGACGCAACAGACGCTTCCTCCCCCCCAGCCGGCGCCAGAGGCGTTGGCATCGCAGCTAGGCCGGCTGGTGCAGCGCGAGCAGGTGGTGGTGGCGCTGATTCAGAAGGCCATCGCGCAGCACAAGGTGGTGCTGGCTCGCTGCGACATGGCGTCCGTGCGCTACGAGACGCTCATCGTGCGGCGCGACGCGGTTACCGCGCAGTACAACCTGGTGCTACGGCTGAAGAAGCAGATGATCGAGGACATGAAGCAGTTCAAGGCGGAGCGGGAGAGGACCGACGACTGGCGCGTGGGGGGATTGGGTGGTCTGGTTACTCCTCCCTCCGTTTCTGTTCCTACTGCTGCTGCCGCAACCCCTGCTGCTACCCGTGATGCTGCCCCTGCTGCTGCCCCTGCTGCTGCCCCTGCTGCTGCTGCCCCTGCTGCTGCCCCTGTTGCTGCCCCTGATGCTGCGACTTCCACATACCCTGCTGCTGTTACTGCAGATCCGCTTTCTTTTGCTTCCACCGCTCCTCTTCCTCCTTCGCATGTTGCTGCTGCCACGTCTGCACTGCCCGTCTCTCCTGCTGCTGCCACGTCTGCACTCCCCGTCTCTCCTGCTGCTGCCACGTCTGCACTGCCCGTCTCTCCTGCTGCTGCCACGTCTGCACTCCCCGTCTCTCCTGCTGCTGCCACGTCTGCACTCCCCGTCTCTCCTGCTGCTGCCACGTCTGCACTGCCCGTCTCTCCTGCTGCTGCCACGTCTGCACTCCCCGTCTCTCCTGCTGCTGCCACGTCTGCTGCCACCTCCTCTGCCTCCGGCCCTCTCACTGCTGTTGACGTCATGCCTGCTGATGTCACGCTTGCTGGCGATGGGGAGGGGTTGCATGACAGGGAGGCATGGGGGGAGGGCGGCAGTGGAGGAGATGTTTGAGTCGCCTGTAGTTACAGAGGGGTGTGGATCGGGAGAGCTGCAGTGCGGTGGTGTGCGTCTCAGTGCGGTCATGATTGAGGAGCTGTCTCAGAGGCCGTCCAGGATCCAGTTGGTTGTGTGCGTAGGGTTGCATTGCAATTCTGGAGTGGTCGGTTTGAGTTGAGTCGCCTCAAAAGTCAGTGAAAGGGGTGTGCTGGGCTGGGAGAGCTGCAGCAGTGCACTGGTGGCCATGTTTGAGTCGGCTCATTGGTCAACCAGGGAACCGTACGTGGAGGGCTGTGGTGGTTATCGTTTGAGCCGTCTTGGAAATCATTCAGGAGGTCAGCAGGGGTTTTAGGGAGAGCTGTGGTGGTGAGGGCTGCTGTTGAAGGGGCTGCGGTGGTCATGTTCGAGTGGTCTCATCAAGTCACCGAGGAGGACCTTCCCATTACCGTGGCAGGGAGGTGCATGGCCACAGACCGCAGTTTGCATCGAGCACTGATGAGGGAGCTGGTTGCCTAGTCCTTCCTTGGTGTATGGTGCCTGCTCTCTGGTTTGTCAACTCGCATTGATGGACTAGTGTTCCGTGGTTCAGTTGAAACGATGTGTAAACTCATGCGGCCTTTTTCTGTTCGTGGTGCAATGCAAGTTGCAGGGTGGTGCTAGGCGCAGAGATTCTGTATATTGCATGTCATGTCATGTGGATATGGTCTGCAGTTTCAGGAAGATACTTTACGTTTCCTTGTCCCATCCTTCAGCACATACGGTACGGTACTAGTGCACTACTGTAAGCTCATTACTGTCATAGGAAGAAAGCATGCCCTGAATTCAACCTACACAACCATTTTTGGCTGGGAAGAAAAAGTTCCTTATATGGTAATGTTGAAAGAGCACACATAGGGACATGAACAGGCCCTCAGATATCAGCGTAAAACACGCTGATTAGGCTGATTTTGTAGCTGTGATTTTCGTTTTCCCTGAAATTTCAGTATCTTCTATATTTTTGCTATGATTTTTCAGTTGAAACTGTAGGACTACCCTGACGGATAAGTGTTCAAGTGTACCAGTAAACACTGAAGTATCAGTGTATTGTACCGAGTCACACTGAATCGGACTTACCAAAATGTACAGAGTAAAGGAGATGAGGTGCGCGTACATGGGGCTTTAGGACGCGGCACCTGTTTGCCAGGAGGCACGATCGATCCTGGTTGGGGATCGATGTGCCGTGTGTACAGGGTACTGGCGACATCGCGCATACCTGGTTTCCTGCTTTCGCTAAATCGCCAAAATGTACAGTAAACACAAGTGATGATGTGGTGGCACCCGCAGCTCGCACGATCGATGTGCCTGTGGGCACACATCGATCTTGGTCTGAGCAGGCGGGATAGTACATCGCGCCTCAGGTGACAACCAAGATCGATCGTGGGTCGCAGGCTGAAACTGAATGAGTCGCTGCGACTACCAAACGAACATTCTTTGTGCTAGGGAATATGGGCGTGCTTGCACATCGGGAAGGTGGTTTGATTTGATTGGGGCCCAAGTCGCCCAGGCCGTGCTGTGCGACGACCAAGGTGTTCTGTGATTGGATGGATTTTCTGTGTGTTGTAAATTACAGCAACGCACGGGTAGGCCAATCCTGCATTGTCGACCCTGGCACTTGAGGCTTGAAGTGTGTATCACACTGCAATTTTGCAGTGTGGGCACATCGATGTGCCACTCGATGTGCCAGGATCGGTGTGACTGCCCGATCCTTCCCCGACCCTGGAAAAACACAAACAGGTGCCGCGTCCTTTACCCAAGACCTTTCCAGTGATAGGTCGAAACCTTAGACAACTGTGCTAACAGTACTTGCGGTCATGTTAATATGTATATATACACTGATAACTCAGTTAGCCATGTTATTTTACCCTGACAAAATCAGCATAAAGTAAACCCCCAACGCTGATTTGGTCACGACTTTGGGCAGGGCACGCTGATCCATCAGCATACCCTGAAACCAATCTGAGGGCCTGGACATGAAACAAGTGCAGATCAAAGTTAAAAACGGTAGCATCCAGCCATCCAGAGTCATACACTACTACACAAAGGTACGCACCCACGAACGGTATTTCAAGGCCAACATACCTACTCAACAGACAACTGACTAACCTGAAATACTATCCGACCCCACTTCACTCTCCGACCCAGAATCACTGTCAGACTCGGGGTCGTCTGTATCATGATTCCGATAGATAGAGAAATCCAAGCATGGAAAGGCCTTCTGCAGTTTCAAGATGCAGTTTGCAATAGTGAAAAGGGAATCTGAGCTATCCATGAACGCAACCTTCACGTTCTTGAGTGTTTTGCAGGACTTGATGATCTCGCCAAGGCCACTTGCAATTTCGTCTGGAGAAGGGCCATTCTTGCGATACCAGCCAGGGTGTATTCGAGCATCAATGAACCACTCAATAGAGGTGATTCGTGGAGCTCGCACCACGAAGTCCCTTGTAGCTTGGAACGGATAAGACTCAAGTGGGATGTGGAGAGACTTCAGAGATGGAAGCACCGAACTTGCAGAAAGACAATTTCTCCCTTGGAGATATAGCTCCTCAATACTGTTTGCACTTGCCAGCAGCAAGGGTTCAGGTTGAAGGCGGAGCTCCTCATAGATGCTTCGCAATCTCAAGGCAAGAAAGCGAAGATTTCTCGACGGATTCACAAAAGTAAGGTCGTTCCTTACGCAGTCAACCTCCATATGCGTAAGCAAGGGCGAGTTGCTTACAAGGAGCTGTGCCACGTAATGCAGCTTGAGCGTTTCCAGTGCAGGGAGATCCAGCTTCAGCTCGAAACCTGCTGGATAGATCTGACTCAACCTGTCAAACCTGGCGTCTGATTTCAGACAGAGGAACCTTAAGCTTTGGTTAGAGAACGTATCACTGAAGCTGAATCCCACCGTCAATGTCAACTTCTGGAGGTTGCTGAGGCTTGTGAGGCAAGCGACACAATCCCCTTTGAGCCTTGGACATTCCACCTCCAACTCCTCCAATTTCTTCAGAGAAGCAACTGCATCCAGAGAATCTAGCCGGAAATCCAAGCCAGTAAGGGACAGGACCCGAAGATTCGGAGCATGGGAACTAAGATGGCTTAACCATCGGAGCCTCGGAAAGCCCTGTAATCCTGTAAAGTGGATCCTTGTCAGATTGGGGCAATGGCGAAGCCACATTAAAAGATAGTGCTCGGACTGTTTTTGGTCATGAAAGGTCAAAACTTCTGATCCGGCTTCAAATACCGCGGAAAGTGAGATCAGATTTGAGGTTTTCAGCACCAAACGCGTGAGAGCTCGTTCTGGTGAGTTTCCTCTAAATCCCACAAACTCCAAAGAAGGACCCTGGAGAAACGAGGACGGAAGACTCAGTAGAGCACGACGTAGGGAGAAAACATGAAGTTATCCGTATGGACGACAAGTGGCACCATGGACCAGTCGCATCGGAACTAACCTGGAAAGCGAGTCGCTCCCAACGTTTGCACGTAGCCGCCACACTAAGGATGTCTTTGGCACTTGAAATCTTATCCAACACGAGATGAAGCTCCTCATCGGAAAACCTGGAAAGACCACCTCCTCCACCTCGATCACCATCTTGTGCTCCTCCGGTCATCGGAACTCAGGATCGTCTGAGCGAACTAAAGGGTTGGTACGAATAGCAGCAGGACAGATCAAGCAGCAAGAAAGGATATGCTGGGCCCCTGACATACTAGCGCTACATGTGCAGGCCATCTTCCCATCCCAATGAACGAGCTAGCAACGATATGGGGTCACCAAGCCATGCCAGCAAAACGATCGGAGCACCAGAAGTTGAATATCGAAGCAGGGGCCTGCCCGAAACCTGCAGAGCTGACCGGTTTCTACTTCACAATGAGGACGGAATGTATTTGCAAAAAGTGAAACTGAAATGCTTGCAATTGCACTAATGACAATCCTAAGTGGCTGAAGAGATCCCCTACGGACCTACGGTATGTGGAATCCCTGGGTGAGACAGATGGCGAGAACACTCAAATCATCTACCTACGATTGAGATACCTAAATACATAAAGTTGTGTGAACACGTCCAGCAAACAGAAAGTTGTGTGACACGTCCAGCAATAGATGAAAGGAAGACCATTGGGAGTGGATGGCCCACACTCGAACTAGCTTTGTGCTTGAATCACAGTGCACATCGACGCATGGTGTCTGTAGCCCATGGCACATTACAATTTTTTATAATCCCCATGGTACTGAGTGTGTTTCAAGCAAGGCCTGCCTCCTTGAGAACCTTCTCAAAGGCATCGTCGTCGTCCCATTGCACCTGCATTGTGGGAAGAGAGAGGGACAGGTACAGTGAGTGAGTGTCATTCACAATACTGGTACACCTGGCTTTGGGTATAGTGTGTATTATTCACTCATTCAGTCTCACATCATCATTCTCACACATCCCTAGTCACCCTCACACGCTCATTCACTCAAATCCTTGTTCACTCACATCAGGAATCACGCGGTCAAAGTGCTTCTCAATCTTGTTGAGTGTGCGCTCATCCTTCTCCCCACACACCAGGTTGAACGCAGCGCCTGAAACAGGGGATGGGAGGGCGACAAGAGGGAAGAAGGACGCGATCTGTGCAAAGTGGAAATTTGATAAGGCTTTTTATGAAACTTGTGCAGAGTGACACATGTCCAAACTAGGATGGCTTGCTGGTGGAGAAAAATACTTTTACTGGCTGGGCAGGTGCGCTTCATAACTTGTGGCTCAGTAAGAAACACCCACTGCGAATCCAGTCCTTATCCTTTCTGCCGAATCGCCCACTGCGGCCGAGACGATGGAGTTAGGTCTCGTACTCAAGCTCGTTGGGAGGTGTGCTTGTATAATTTATAAACAGAAGACAGAAACGGACCCATTTCAGCTGCCCTTACCCTTTCTGCCGAATCGCCCGCTACGACCGATTCGATGGAGATAGGTCTCATACTCTGGCTCATTGGGAGGTGCGTTCTTCACGGGCAGATCAAAATTCACCACAAGCGTCACCTGCCCGGGACAAAGAGAAGCAAGGAAGGAAGATGCGGCCACGTGGAATGGGAAGGCACAGAGAAAGGGGAGGGAAGGGGTGGGCGAAAAGGGATGGGGAGCAGGGGGATCTTGATGGCGCTGCTTCTGAAAGCCCCGACCAGGCCTATGAGCTGCATTTGTAAGGGAACCTTATTGTACCTATGCACTCCACCCCTCCCCCGTTCTCACCTCTGCCTGGTCTGACCCTCTAGCGAACATGTCAGTGGCGATGAGGATCTTGGTGGTGCCGCTATGGAAAGCCCCAAACAAGCTCATGAGGTACATGACCTGTACCTGCACCCCCTTCCTACCTACCTGCGCCTGGTCGAAACCTCTAGCCAGCACATCAGTGGCGATGAGGATCTTGGTGGTGCCACAAGCACGCCCATCATCTGCCCACCTGCTCCAGTTCTCCCCTCTCCCACTCTCATCCTGCCTCACTCTCACCTGCGCCTGCCTGCTCTC